TTGGTTGGTTGGTTGGTTGGTTGGTTGGTTGGTTGGTTTGATTTGATGATTTGATGATTTGATGATTTGATGATTTGATGATTTGATGATTTGATGATTTGATGATTTGATGATTTGATGATTTGATGATTTGATGATTTGATGATTTGATGATTTGATGATTTGATGATTTGATGATTTGATGATTTGATTTGATTTACTGTTTTGTACTAGACATCCATTGCAGAATCCTTGACGTATCTGGACAATGGGGTCATCTTCATCGGGTCTAGACTCGGAGACTCGCAGTTAGTCAGGGTAAATCATCTTAGTGCTGACTTTTGTATGAACAAGATTTGATCAATGATTACTGCTAGTGGGACCTAGCCAAATCTTCAAAGAAATCAAACTCAAGAATAGCCTAAGATTGGTTTCAACTGAAAGGTTCTTTGAATTACTCCATCAACCGCTCCTTGTTCAGAACTGGTTTTGACTTTTGACCTGTGATCTTTGCAGTTGACTGTGGACCCAGATGAACATGGTTGCTATGTCCAGCCCATGGAGACATTTACCAATCTTGGTCCCATTGTAGATATGGCGGTTGTTGACCTAGACAGACAAGGTCAAGGCCAGGTAAGTTGCAAATAGTTTAATCAAACCCTTCCCCGCTCCTCGTCTGCAAATCCAATTTTATTGAGGTTATGGTTCCCTAAAAAGCAGTCAGGATTTGGTTTTTCATCCCTCAGTTTACTAAAATGTTTGTGATACCATTTGTAGTAAAAGACAAAAATTACTTGGTGTCTGAAAGTTCCTGCTGACGCGGTTTTCAGGTCATGGCAACGTTTGGTTTGTATTTTCTATGTTTAGTTGGTAACCTGCTCAGGTTCGTACAAAGAGGGCAGTCTTCGCATCATCAGGAATGGCATCGGTATACATGAGCATGCTAGCATTGACCTTCCAGGGATCAAGGGGTTATGGCCACTCAGAGTGGACCAAGGATCACAGTATGATGACACCCTGGTGTTGTCTTTCGTTGGGCAAACAAGGTTTGTTCTCACAACTCGGTTTCTTAATTATTATTGAGTAGTTTTGTCATTTCATTTGGTGTGAGGAATCTCGGTTTTCGGAGAGGACGAATGTGTGACATGGTTGAAGGTTGAGCTTCTTTCTTGTATTAACTTGAGTTGTTGTCAGAAGCAAGTTCTCTGTTCATGCCTTATCTGATGTCTTCCTCTTTGCCAGGGTCTTAATGTTGAATGGGGAGGAGGTTGAAGAGACGGAGATGCCTGGTATTGATGGTAATCAGCAAACATTTTACTGTGGTAACGTCTACAGCAATCAGCTCATTCAGGTATGGTGTTGTCTGATTGAGTTGAAGTGGTCAGTAAAGGTTTGAGGTCCGGTTATACAAATGGTCCAGGTTGGCAGGAAATATATTTATATGTTTTGAAGAAAAAAGAAATAAAGTCTTTACAGATGCAGAAGGCTGAAAGATTGCCCCAAATCATGGAGGATATTCTAAAAGCATCCAGTGACACTGAAGTCTTGATTATAAGTCTGAATTATTTCTGTAGATCACTGCAGCGTCCGTGCGCCTCGTTAATGCTGTTACCAAACGTATGGTGAGTGAGTGGCGCTCTCCGTCAAGTAAGAACATTAGCGTAGCTTCCTGCAACACACAGCAAGCTGTCTGCGCTGTGGGAAGGGACATATTCTACCTCAAGATCCACGAAGGGGAACTCCGACAGATTAGGTTGGTCTCAGCATTGGGAACAAGAGGAGGAGGGGCTAAGTTAACAGAAAGGGGGGGGGCCTGAGTCCAAGGAGCATCCAAGTAACTTTGTTGGCTGGATTCCATGGGAATGGATGTTAATGCTACTCTTGGTCTGCCCTTCAGAATTTGGAAACTCGTAGGTTTTGGATCTTGTAGGATTTTATAAACCCTCCTGTGCAAAGATGCAATCTGTACCCAGTAGTCCTATCAGTCAAAATCAGTCAAGTGATATATGATATGTCTCTGTCCTGTAGAGGGAGAAGTAGTAGGAACATTTTGACTGTCTGTGAGTGTTACAGCAAAAGCTGGTTTAAAGAGATTTAACATCTTGCAACCTTAATAGGCTCTGTTTATCTCATATAGCTTGATATAATCTTTGAAAGTTGCCTGTACAGAGAATGTCCCTTTCTGTTCCTATTAGTGTGAAAACTGGAGGATTTAGGAATTCTCCTATCAATACTGCTTGGGCACTGAGGTTAAATCTGTAAGTTTTTATTGGGCATTGCAGTACTGTGACTATGGAACATGAGGTCGCTTGTTTAGACATTACGCCTCTCACTGAGGGCTCTGACATGGCTGAGCTGTGTGCTGTGGGTCTGTGGACTGACATTTCTGCACGGATACTCAAAATCCCTAGCTTGGAATCGATGCACGTCGAGATGCTTGGAGGAGGTAAGATGAGAATTGAGCTGTAGAGGTAGGACCTGTCCTTTGGCTCCATCTCTGTTTACTGCCTCAGAAGAATTACCCTTGTTTAAAGAATGAGATTGACTCAGAAACTGATGCCTTCCATTTTACGATGAAATTGTAATAGAGGTTATGTGTTGCTGGCATCTCCATGGGGTCTAGGAAGCTGCTTTTGTTATTTTGATTTAATTACAACAAATGTTGAAAAGGTTTACTCGAGCCTACCCCAGTGATACAAAACTCTTTCCCTCTGAGGAGGCTTTAACGTATAACCTCTTTTCAGGGGGCGGAGCTTAATCCTCTGAATAAACCTCCGCCTCTTTGATATTCTCAGACTGCTTCAAGACTCCTTTGAAAGTCACTAGAACTGCTTTTTTGTGATCGGTGATCAAATTTCTCAGTTGCACATAACTTTTAAGTAGAGTTAGCGAATGCACTTAGATATGGTAGTGGATTGTGGCCCTCCAGTAGACCTGTGAGCTATCTTCAAGAAGATTTGGAACCTTGGAGCTTTAAAAATCGATTTGAAGTGGATTTTTTTTTATTCCTGCTTTCAGAGATCATCCCACGCTCAATCTTACTGAGCGTGTTTGAGGGACAGTGCTACGTCCTGTGTGCCCTAGGAGACGGCTCTCTCTTCTACTTCCAACTCAACACAGAGACAGGTAAAAGCTGATTGGTCAGCTGAAGGCTTTGTACTTGAACCACAGAGGGTTTTGGGGGGACTAAGAATGTAGGCACCTGCAGGGCTCTGGAATTTAGTTTTCTGTATCCACCTCGAGCAGAAGCACCCCCTCATTGGTTGAAAAGAGTCATGTTGGTCCGCAGTGTTCATTTTGTTGGTAGCAATAAGACTGTTATTCATGCATTTCATAGTTGTTCGTGAACCAGCAAAGTTCAGTTCTGACCAAAGAAGCCTCCGTTGCTAAGACAATTGAGCCCTCTCTTGGTCTAGCTCAAGACTCATAGACAATCTACCTGGGCACGTTCATGATAAGCGTTCATGGTCAAGTTACTTTTTGTTTAATAATGAAAGCATTATGAGCTGATGGCAATCAAATTGTGGATGTTATTATCAAATGGTGTCCATGTTACCTTCAGGTTTCATGAGGGATCGTAAGAAGGTCATTCTTGGCACTCAGCCAACTGTCCTCAAGACGTTCAAGTCCCATGCCACAGTCAATGTCTTCGCCTGCTCGGACCGACCAACGGTCATCTACAGTAGCAACCACAAGCTAGTCTTCTCCAATGTCAACCTGAAGGAGGTTAGCTACATGTGCCCTTTGAACTCTGAAGGGTACCAGGACAGGTTGGTTCCCAGCTCCTTTCAGAATGATTTCAGATCTAAACATTGAAAGATACGCAGTTTTAAGTGTGGGAAAAGCATGCAAATGTGTTAGCACATGATCTATATTTGGAATTTTGTTTTAGCTGGAGGAGTTATTTTATTCTTTTTTTTATTAAAATTTTTAAATCCTTATATTTTTTTGCCCAGGTAGAGTAAAAAACGATCTGACCATACAAGTTTCCATTGAGAGGGATTGTGTTCTGTTTTGCAGACGGATATACAAACCAAGCATGAAGATGTTGGTTGGAAGTCATTCTTTATAGATTTCGTAGACCTATTTCATCGGTGTATCAATCTTTATTTTCCATCTTATTCCATTAGCCTTGCCTTGGCTAACGACACCACTCTCATGATTGGCACTATCGATGAGATCCAGAAACTGCACATTCGTACCGTCCCTCTGGGCGAATCTCCCCACCGCATCGCCTACCAAGAGGCCACTCAGACCTTTGGTGTCATCACGACGCGTACGGAGCTCAAAGATGCCACAGGATTGGGTACGATGCCAGTACGCCAATCAGCCAGCACCACGGCTCTCAATATGTCTAGCAGTACCAACAGTAAGAGCATGCCTGGTCAGAGTGGGTCCGAGGGCTCTCACTTCGGAGAGGAAATCGAGCTTCATTCATTGCTCATTATTGATCAGCATACATTTGAAGGTGAGTTGGGAAATGGAAAAACAGGAGGATTTGAGCAAACAGAGCCTGAATCTCAAATTCATTAGGAAACTTGGAATTCAGAATTTGACTTTAGATATTAAAAGTAAAATGGGAAAATATTGCCGTTAACGGATACAAATAACCAGCACTTTCACTTAGTGAAACAATTTGCTATTGGAAAAGTGACACTTTTTGAATACACATTATTTTCAAATTTTAAGCAGATGCCATTGTTATGTGTGTCAGTGGATCATTTCTCTGAGTTGTCAAACTTTCAACGCCAATGTGTTTGATTTCTCAAGATTTTCAATTTCTATACATTTTTGAAACCTGGGAGCAACAGAAATCCTTTATTGTTTTTGATCCAAGTTCAAGGAATTTATTTATGTATATTTCTCAACAGTTCTCCATGCACATCATTTTGTTCCTTACGAGTACGCCACTAGCATCGTATCCAGTAAACTTGGCAACGACCCTACCACGTATTACATCGTGGGAACAGCTATGGTCTACCCGGATGAGGCGGAGCCTAAGAAAGGGCGGATCGTTGTATTCCAGTACAGCGATGGTATGTTGAAATGTTGAGTGCTACCTGTGAGCAACTGCTGATGATTGTGGAGTGACCCAGCAATTCGTACATTTTGCCTCATTTGGTTTCGGTGTATTTGCACTGAGCTGAAGTGCGCCCTCAACGGCAAAAGAAAGAACGATGGTACTAAGTTTTCCAACCGGGGTCTTGCACGTGTTCAGTGTGCATGTGAAGACCATATATTCCAGACTAAATTAGTTGGACATACTCGGCGTGCTTCGCGTCAAGCATGCATAAACTTGCGCCTATGTGGTGAGTGCGTACCAAATGACAGTCAATTTCATTCCAAAACACGCCTTCTTTTGTTTCTGCTTGGAGCAGATTCTCATCTTGTGAAGTTGTGGTTTGGTTTCATTAAGGTAAACTTCAAGAAGTGACAGAAAAAGAAATCAAAGGAGCAGCATATTCTATGCTAGAGTTCAATGGAAAACTTCTGACATCAATCAATAGCGTGGTGAGTAAAGTGTGAACAAACTGAGTATTTTGTTCTCAATTCCAGATTTAGTGTCCACACTTATCCTTCCAAGTTCTTGGAAATCCACCGGGCAGTTCTGGGGGATGCAGAAAATTATTGGTTACAAATTGTGCAGTATACATGTGGCTTGCAGGGTCTTGAAGTTTGAGATACAATGAATGGGTTCCTACACAATGGAAAGTGACGTAAGTCGGGAAGATTTCTAGAGAAAATTTCACCAACACGCCAGCTTGGTACTTTTCATTGCTCATTGAGAAAAATTTGTTTACTTGAAAGAATAGGGATGGAGATTGGCATTGGAGTGACTTGATGATTCTGGTCATGTGTTGCCCTGGAAACAGTAGAAAAAGAGAAGTTGGAGGAGTAGAGTGAGGAACGGACCTTTCCCATGAAATATGCAAATTAGACGGGCGTATGCTTGTTTCTAACACTGGTTGGCAAGCTCGACCATCAACACTGTCAGTAGCGTAGGAGAGCTGCTCTAACCATAACCTGGCGTGGCGAAGGTCAAACAAAACCATATTACAGCCTTTGTCCGATACTTCAGCATGCTTTTCTCGAAACTAAGTGAAGTTTTCAGTGTCCTGAGGTTGGAAAGTAACGATTCGTTGTCTTTAAGTGTGGCACTCATGTCAAACTATACTAGTACAGAAACGGCGATTGTGACACGCACATGGAGATTTGTATTGTTACGTCGTAGATTTAAGCAACTTTGCCAACCAGTGGTAGTGATGCGCGTGCACCTGCCTTTTTTGCATATTTCACGGGAACGGTCCATGGGATCTTTTCACCTACAGGTTCGACTTTTTGAGTGGACTTCAGAAAGGGAATTGCGTGTTGAATGCAGTCACTACAATAACATCTTAGCCTTACACCTCAAGACCAAAGGTGATTTTGTCCTAGTTGGTGACCTGATGAGATCAGTGACGTTGCTGGCTTATAAGCCCATGGAGGGGTGTCTGGAGGAGGTAAGTCTTAGGGTTGTGCTAGTCTAGATGATGACTGTCTTGCACCATCATGGCTTTCTTCAAACTGTGCACTTTGACGTAAAGAGGTAGCAAGGGCTTAAAAAAGTGTGTTATGTAGCCAGGGTTGGTTCAGTTGGTATGCTTTATTTATGAAATCTGTTTCTGTATTTAATGGCTAGATTGCTCGGGACTATAATCCCAACTGGATGTCGGCTGTAGAAATCCTGGATGATGACACATTCCTAGGAGCTGAGAACTCATTCAATTTGTTTACATGCCAGAAAGACAGGTGCGTATATTGGACTTCAAAACGATACATCAGACTTAGTCCAATTATGGCTTGGTCTCTGTCTTTTACTTCATATTGAGCTTTCAGTCAGCTTAAAGTGTGTACTATTTGAACCAAACAGATAATGCACCAAATTTTGGCCTCTTATAAGACATTTTGATGCCCTGGTAGCAAGAAAATGGAGTGTCAGTGAGTGTTGATTTGGAAGACAAATGTTTACGATCATGCCCCTGAAGGAGATTGCATTGAAACAGACCACAAGAAGCATGTACACTTTATATGCAGCTAGACTTCCATCAGTAGTGAATAGATTATCAATCATCACGGGAGAGCCAGACTGCATATAGAACCAGTTGCTTCAAGGAGTGGAAGCAAACATGGAATGAGAAGTCATCTCGAAATAACATCTAGACAATATAAAAGCATGTCATGACAATAGCAAAATGTATGAAAAAAAACAGAGAAATATCAGGTCAACAGAAAAATATATCATGTCAATAGAAATATATCAGGTCAATAGAAAAATATATCAGGTCAATAGAAAAATATATCAGGTCAATAGAAAAATATATCAGGTCAATAGAAAAATATATCAGGTCAATAGAAAAATATATCAAGTCAATAAAAAAATATATCAGGTCAATAGAAAAATGTATCATAATTTGATTTTTTTTCTGCACGCAGTGCGGCCACGACAGACGAAGAGAGACAACACCTTCAAGAGGTCGGTTTGTTCCATTTTGGCGAGTTCATCAATGTCTTCAGACATGGATCCTTGGTTATGCAGAACATCGGTGAAAGTACCATACCAACTCATGGAAGCGTTCTGTTTGGTACAGTCAATGGCACTGTGGGTAAGAACAGCTTGACAGCTCTCTGGGTGCATTCCACCAAATGGGTGTATTTCTGCGTGCGAGCTCAATAATATTTTGTGATCCCACGGGAATTTTACAATAGGACAAGCCATAATCAGGAGGTATCATAGAAATATTTCTGTCAATCCCGAATTTAGGACTGATAGTTTCCAGTTTTGGGTATTTCTTTCACTAAAAGCGCCAAATTGTGGACCTATTTTGGATAGAGGTGGGCGTCTACATTCAGAAATGAACGCTTAGTTTTACTGCTATTTGGGGGGTATCTTCGTTCAAAGGCGAACAAAACAATATTTTCGTTGCTAACACCTATGAAATTGAAACGAAAAGTGATTTTCTGGCCATGATCTTGAATTTCCAGTGAAAAAACGTAGGCCAACCTCTTCACGAGAGTCAACAGGCAGCACTATTTCGGTCAGATTTTGCACTATTTTCTATGGGCGTGTATTTGGTATATTGCAACCCTCACACAGTGAAGTTTACTTTTAGGGAAGTGTCCTTTGTTATGTTTTATTTTTTTAAATTATTTGAAGTTTACTTTTAGGTAACTGTCCTTTGTTATGTTTTATTTTTTGAAATTATTTGCCTTGTGTTTGTGTCACCAGTCTGGTAACCAGCTGTCACAGGTGTTTTTGTAAAATCATCTAATTGTGTTGCTTGTGTTACAGGTGTTTTTGTAAAATCATTTAATTGTGTTGCTTGTGTTACAGGTCTGGTAACCCAGCTCTCTGAGGAGTTTTACCACTTCTTGATGGAGGTTCAGAATAAACTGACCAGAGTCATTAAGAGTGTTGGGAAGATAGACCACACATTATATCCTTTGGTATTTGCCATTCCATGTGACCTGGGGGTGAGGGGGGAGCTTGGCTTGATACAGTGCCATAGAGGGCGCTGTTGGCTATTTGAGAGAGCCAAATTAGGCTATGTCTAAATCAATTGGCAGTGGCTAACTACTGTGTGTCTGTGGAAGACCCACAGCCACAGTCACTGGCTTCCCTCGGAGTATACGAGCCATAACTTTCTGACATGCCCTTTTATTTGCAGGCAACCATGCCAACGTCGTTGTTAAATGTTGCACACACGCAGTTCCCTGTGGAAGTGACTTCCATTGCAGTTGCAGCTGAATGTGCACACAATTTTTTAACCGCATTGAAAAATTAGGTCTTTGAAAGTTTGTGAGAAATTGCTAAGTTTTTTCTTGCACTAGTTACCATTCTGTACCGTTTGAATTGCCATGTGGCTTGGTAAAAGTCTTGATTTAACCTGATTCTTCCTTGACTGGGTGATACTTGGAGGTCATTCTACACCGATCGTAAAACAGAAACTGCAGAGAATTTCATTGATGGTGACTTAATTGAAAGCTTTCTGGACCTGAGTAGAGATAAGATGGAAGAAGTCGTTCAAGGATTACAGGTAAACCTTCTGATTCAGGACTAATTTTTTAAATCATGTTTTTTATAAAATTTATTACAGGTATTTATAGAAACTTTTTATTTGCACGTCTGAAAGTCTTGGAAATATCAGTGGTTGAAACATCTAGGTTTGTATTTCATTAAATGAAAGCACCGAAGTCCATTTGAAGTGAACCAAGATCACGGAAATAGAAATGAGAAAGCATCACTCTGAACCCATTTTTGTCTCTCCCTGAATGTTACGTTATTAAACAGATCAGTGATGGAGATATGAAACGAGATGCCACCGTTAGTGATATCATCAAGATTGTTGAAGAGTTGACAAGGATACACTGAACATCGGATCTAACCACCCCAAACACCAAGTAGGTTAATTACTGACAAGTCTGAGGTTGGAGCCGGCACCTTCAAATTTCAGAAACCACAAGCTGTGTTCTGGACTAGAGGATTTTCAGTCATGTGATTGTTGACTGTCGGTGTTCAATTCACACAGATGTGCGCGAGAACATGGGCGCCTTTGATGTCTCAACATTCTTGTGTGCGTGAAATTGCCAATAGAACACTCCAATTTGAAATTGCCAGTGCCCACATGGTATGTTTTCTGAAATGCTTTTTGCCGTCAGGTTACGTCACATGCTAAACCTCTACAGGAAAGGGCTTGTGAAGATTTTGCTGTTCTGTCTCACTTGGACAGACAAAATGGATGATGTTGCAGTTCTTGTGGCTGGTAGGATATCAATGCCGGTGATTTGCAATACATTTGCACTACCAAGAGGTTGCTGCAGTGCACTGTGGGATTGCCCAAGTGCACTGTGGGAAATCGTTGAAAAATATGCTCCGACTGCACGAAGGGACCTGGAATCATTCCTATTGTTTGAGTTGGTAAAAGATTTGCAAATGTATTTCCAAAGCATGGAATGCCCCAATCTATGTGTGATTTCCCCCATTTGTCAACTGACAGTCACTCAAATACAATCATTGGAAGTTGGCCGTTTTGAGGTTGATGGTAAACTTGAAAAATTGCCTCTCCATGGCAACTTTGTGGTGGTGTACTGTATTGTAAATCACCTGTGATAGGTTTTCATGCACAGTCTGTTTTCCCAATGTAATCTTTTCTCGCTTTTGTGTGGGGAAATCTGCATGATATGTTTATGATACTTTGTGATCATTAAAATCCTACGTAATGTAAGTTGGAAAAGTTGGAAAACAATCACTGCATTGTGAAAAGGAAAGTTCACTGTTAACAAAGCTTTTCTGAACACAGATCTCGTCTGTTTATTTTATTAGAAGAAACAGACTACCAGTTATCCTGGTATGCTGTGTTTACATTTCTCATGACTGGTTGCCACCAAACTTAGCTTAGCAACTCGGTTCAACCAGACAAAATTTTTGCCATCCAACCCCTTCAAAGTCGGCGCTAATGGCTTTGGAGTTATTTAGTAATGAAAACCAACCTGCAGTTTTGAACAACTTGCTTTTATTTTTAAATTTTCTTCAATATACAGGACAAAAAACTGCAGAAAAATGTGTTTTAATAATATTGTTAAGTAACAGCTGTGTTTAAGGAATACTACGGTAAAAAGTCTCTAAACATAGTTGAGTGTGTTAAGAGTGGACGGGGAGCTTTTGACAAAAACTGCAAAAAGTGGCAGGAACAGGAATTATTAACAGGTGCTGACAAAAGCAGAGTCTCAGAAAACCACTGAATTGATTATTTTGGGCGAGAAGTAGAAAATGAATTGTTTTGAGTATAACCTTATGAGACTCTCTCTGGATGACCTGAAAATGAATATTTTTGGATTCACCAAAGCTTTTCCCAGAACTAGATGAACATTTTAAGTAAATATCACTGGGGATCAAACTCTGGTTCAGACCAAATTTGTTTCACTAATTGTTCAAATGGAAAAACTGTATAAATTTAACCAACTTGCTGAACAACAGCAAATAGCAACAATCTTATAACTGGCCAAGATGCCCCTATGAGCCCATTGTCAGTTGAAGAAAGCCTTACAACATGGTTTTCATTGCAGTCACAAGAACCCAAGTTATGAGTGACTGTAAGACACATGGCAGTCAGGAAGTGCACCTTAGCTGATCACCTTAGCACCTTAGGGCCGATCCTAGTTATTGAACTAGGTGTGGTTATTAATCCAGGTTGAAGCATCTTTGCTTAGTATTGAAAATTATGGTTGAAGATCTCATTGCAAGTTTCAAGGTTGAGTGGACCGGTTCCATAAAATGACTTCAGAAAATCTAGCTGTCACGAAATGTGTCTGCTGGTAAGAGTTGAGAGCTTTGAGTTTGTACAACAGTACAGTATTTGATCAGGATGATTGTAAATACCACAGTTTTGTCAGTTTTTATATTAAAGTCAATGTTTCGTTCGGACCTTTTAGTTGTTAGGTTTCAAGGGTCAAGTGGCCAAGAAGTGGCCAAGAGCTTTGACATCTGTAGGTTTGCTCTTTTTAAAATGTGATGAGTTCATTAAAATCAAAATGTTTGCTTGGAATGTTTGAGCTTATGATTTCACCTTTGTCATGCAGTGAAAGTAAGGCACATGTATTTTACCTGATTACTCTTACGTGAGAATCCTACACAGAAATGAATACCATGTTACCAAATTCCATCCACCTTTCTGTCTTTGTGAGGAAGTCCATGAATTGTAGAGCTTCAGTCGTCATTGGATGTTTCAAATAGTCCATTTATTTATTCATCATAACAAGAGTATCAGTTTGTAAAGTGCTTACCCAGTTGTTTTGATGTGGAGGATTACTGCTAGAAAGCCCCTCAGTCAGCAGAAATTTTCCACTTTACTCAGTATGGGGATAGCAGGTGGTACTTTCCATTGCAAGTGGTTGGTGATATCTCTGGGCGCTAGGGGGCTTTACACCCCTTGATGTGCCTTTGGTGCTACCCCAAGTATTTCCATGAGGCATTGCATGGGTGCTTGGGTACAGGTAAGATGAGCATCTTTGTGTTGGGTACATCCTTGAAGGCTGAAATGTATAGAAATGGGAAATTACAGGTGTCTTGAAAAGCTACACTGAAAATCTGACTTTCAAGTAGGAATTTTGTTTTTTGTAATTAATTTTCTCAGGCTATCATCTGGAGGTTCGCTTACTGTGTTTGTGTCTGTTGTTTTGCGTTTGAGTTGCCTCCCGGTACTCTGCACTGGCCTGGTGCCCTTGTCACGGACAAGTGTCCCCATCAGGCTCTTGTGAAGCTGGGATGTATTCATAAGTGGGTTATAAAGGTCAGCGACCTCCAGCTGTGTAAGGCAAAATACAAACCTCTGTTTGCCACTGTTCAGTTTGCAGATTTCATAATGCATTTGGTAATTTTTTGTCCAATTGGCAAGTCATGAAGGAGGAAGCAAAAACTTTGTAGAAATCTATGGAAAGTGTAGAATACATAAATACAATTACAATACATCTTTCCAAAAGGCCTATTCTTCAGGATAATAATCCCAATTCCTGAGTTTACAGCGTCATAAATAAGATGTACCCTATTCAAACGAGCTGTGACATTCTGTAGAAAGTCGGAGACAGGTTGCTCTTCCTGCTGGCTACAATCTGTTGGTAGTATGAGTTCCTTAACAGCAATAGGCTTGAGGAGGAGAGACAGACCTGATGAAGGTAGAAGGATAAAATGGCCACTAGGCTTTGGGGTCTGATAGCTAGGTGAAGGAGTGTTGTCATCCAGCCTGGTCACTAAGGCTAAACTCTGGAATGAGAAATGATCAAAGCAATTAAGGAGCTTCCAAACTTGAAATGACATCAATCATAAGTTATCCATAAAATGAGATTGATTTATTTTTAAATTACGTGTTTTAATCAAAATATGATATATCATTCCAAACCAAACGTATCCCCCATCGTTAGTTTCACACATTCAGATGTTCCACTGTGCAGATGTTTTTCTGCAGAAAGATTTGGTAGTTACGGGCACTACAAGTTGTGGAGTTGGCATTGTTCACGTGTATACTGGTGTCATTTTCCAGACAGTAAGCTAAGAAGCCTTTAGTCTGGTTATAGAATGTTGGGTCGCAAATTTGACTGAGTACCTTTTCTTGAAGCAAGTGACAGAGAGCGTGAAAGTGTTGCTGGTTTGACTCTAGCTCTTCCCAATCCAGCTGCCAACATGATGTCGGTTTGACTAGGAGAGGCATTCCAAAGACCTACAAGTACAAGAGAAATTAATAATGGGCTCTGGGCTGGATCAAGAGAGGCCGCAATTATTTTCCTAGCAACGGAGGCTCCTTTGGAAGTAATTATGCATCACTGGTTGACGAAAGAGTGTGACACGCAAGGATTGCAGTCGCATTGCTGCCAACCAAATAAACACTCCTGACCAACATGGCTCTTTTCAACCAATGAGGGGGTGCTTCTGCTCAGGGTGGATTACTGGTTCATTTCAGTCTATTTTCAGGCTGGAGAGAATTGAGCTCTAGCAGTGGATTACACTGGCCCAGGTGGTTGAAAGATTGAAAGGACTTAAAGCAGAAGGTTTGAGTCCTAACAAAGTAAGCAGTTATTTTTTTTACAGGATCTTAAAAAGATGTAACCATACAAGTCTGTTAATATAATGCAAAAAAGTTACAAGAATTTCCATTTTACATCACAACACAAAGTCTTGCTGGCATGATCCTACAAATAGGAAGTGCAAGGCATTTCCTTCTTAATAAAATCAGCCTGTATTCTGTCGTGTAATTTGTTTCAGATTTTGCAACTATTTGCCACATTTTGGACCTTGACAGTGGCAACTTACTGTGGAGTCGCATACGTGTAGGCCTGACACCTTGACCATTTGGATTGTATGCAGTGTTATGATTGGGGCGGTGATAGTGTTGATCTTGCCAGACATTTGATTGGCGATAGGTTTACTGGGAACCATGCTTGCATGAATATCCTAGAAAGAAAGGAGAAAGTATTAGTAGGATTATCAAGCAGGATTCCAACTTTGTGATTCAAGAGGATTCAAACTTGCAGTTGTTTTTTTTCCAAGCATATTGATTTCAAATGGTTTCAATGATGGGTTCTTTGATTGTTTGATTCTTTTATCAAACACAAGTGACTTGAGTTGTGGGTGCATTTGCAACCTGTTTGCAATCATTTATAGTAAAAGTCATCTTGACTACACTTTTTTTCATAAATGGTAGGATAGCATCTTCTCTTATCAGTTTTCTGTTCAGCGTGTAAACACTTGTGAACAAGCAAGAAGGAACCATGTATCTGGAGGTGGATTCTTCTTGAAGGTACCGTATGTAAGAAACTTACAAACTGTGCCTGGAAAGGAAATTGGGATGAACTGAGCAAACTTTCCTGGAGATCACATTTCAGGGTCAACCAGTCGTCTTCAACAGCTGTTGAGAAAAGTTAGAGTCCTTGGTGTTTTAGTAACAAAACTTAAAATCTCATGCATTCAGTGTTGATGATATACAAATTTCACACATTTTAAAGTATGATTCAGGTGAATTGAGCGATGCCACAAGGCTCTTGGGTGAAAAAGCTCCCTTTTCTGGTAAAACATGAAACTCATTGTTTCTCTGTTGACAGACATCCAGGGCATCTTCCCTACGCTATCAGTTGTCAGGAGTTCTTGACTCCATTTGTTACCTTTGAGTCATACGTACTTGTTGGAGGAAGTTGAAGATGAAGATGTTCTCTGTCTGTGCCACAGTCATGAAGCCAACTGCGGAAAAACTCTTGAAAACTTATCTCATCTAAACAAAATTGGAAGTAGAGGAAAGAGACCGCCTGAAATGCACAACCAGGCACCGCGCACCTGCCCAGATCACATGCAAAAAACCCCATTCATTCCGTACTCAGTGTGCCCCGCTCCAAATGCACATCAACTGTCAAGCCTATGTGATGAGTTGCCACCATAGGACTGGCATGTTCATGTATAAACACGCCCTCTCTTGTTCCCGCTCAGAGCGGATAGAGTAGCAAATTGATAAGTTAAGGGATGCAACTGCTATCTCTACTTTCAAACTTTCATTTTGTCTCATTACTTCCTGTGACAAATCTTTCTTGACTTCAGTCTTGGTCCGACTCCAATCAATTTTACTGCCTTTACAGAGCAAGATGCCACCAATATCTGTCTCCTTCCATCCTTGAGTACCTTGCTCCAGAGTTACCGTCTCCACAGCACCTAGAGCTAGTGGGTCGCTGCTCTGGGAGGAAGTTGGAGATCCTGTCATTTCTATCTTGATGGTTGGTGAGCTGTCAATGTCAATTGACATTGTAGAGGGGTCCATGAATATTAGGCCACTGGGCCCGGCCAGTACTGTGACAACCTGGATTCGCTACATAAACGAATAAAAAAACTACAGCCTGTCAACCCGGATTGAACTCAACCCTGGGTGAAACCATGACCACCCTGGGTTGAAATATTTCAACCCAGGATGGTCATTCTGTGTGAACCGGGCTTACTGGGGTGAGTTCAGCCTGATTCGGAGTTCTCATCCCTGGTCTGGACCAAGGTTGAGTTCAACCCAAGTTAAAATCAATCTCGGGGGCTGATGCGAGGTTGAAAATTTTCAAGCGTGAATTGTCACCAGTTTTCAACCCTGCGTCAACCCCGAGATTATCTAGTGTTGAAAGGCCTAAAAGAAATTGATTGCAACTACCCTGTAAAGTGCAAGTATAAGAAGGTAAAACTCGGCACACAAGCTACTTACTCTCAATGATGTCAGATCCATCTCAGGTAAGATCTCATTAATCTGTTTGCTAATTGACGGCCCTTGATGACAAGTCAAAAGAGTCACTTCTAGCTGGGCACTAAAGCCTGTCATCTGGTGAACAGACAAGAGATTTTCAATACTGTTTGCTCAAATTGGCCTGTAGATATCCTGCTGCAGGCCATATCTTCACTCAACTGATCCCAAACAGAAGTTATGGTTTCTCAAATGTTAGAAATGAACTAATATCCTTCGTCTTTGAATGATTCCAAACAATTCCTGTGATGGCATCATTTCTAACCAAGTGACCATCAGGTGACGTAATCCTTGCTAGCAAGGCATTGGTTTCAGGAATTCAGGAAACAGTCCATCGCACAACTGTTCATCATGTTTTACCTCATGTTTTCACAAATGTACAACAGATTTCTGAACCCCCCCCCGTCAAATCCGCCAACACTCCTGAGGCCTAATGAGATATTTATCCAGTCAGATATCAGGAAGATGGGCCTCTCATGGAAGCAGCTAGAGTTGAAAGTGCACAACAGAGGGCTCTGGAGGACTCTCGTTGATGACCTATACCCCAGGAGGGGTGACGGGCAAACTAACTAAATGAGCTACTTTAGGGCACGTCATACCTGTCGTAGTGTTTGAGCCTGTCGACGGAACTGGACTGTTGCCTCTCTCATTGCTTGGCCTAGATTGACCGATGATTCCATCGTCATGAAACTATCTGACGTGAATGACTTCAATTCCTGCAGTGCGTTATACAGCCGCTGGAAATTGCCTTTGATGTGTTGGAGCGGAAACAGATTCTGCAAGAAATAAATAAAGTTTGTTGTCCACTTCACTGTTAACACTCCAGTGTGAGACACTTTAAGAGTCAGTGTGAAGCAAGATAAACACACTGTATGGGGCCAAATACTTTCCTACCAGCAACATGTACAGGGAAATTTCTCATTTTGTTTTGACATTTTGTATTTTCTGCATCATCAGGGACATATAGGTCCCTAGGCTCCATAGGACCTCGTTAAAATTTGAGGCGAACATTACTCAAAATCTTTGGAGCTTCCTTTGTAATGATTCTTTGACTGATTTGCTGTTCAGCTAATTTTAATAGTTTTCGACACACCCAAGGGAGTGGGGATTGTATACTTGTGGACCCCCCCCAATTTTTTGTCATTTTAATCTTGCAAACCTGGTAAGTCCCCCCCCAAGAAACAAAGGCAACACTCTGTTTAGTGCACTGACCCTATTTTAGGAAGTTTCAAATTGTAAATTGTGAGAAAATGTATCTTTCTTACTGATATTAGCCAGCCAATTTGAATCCACCATGTATCATGTGTTAAACTCAAAAACCTGCCCTATTTTGACGACATCAACCCTACAGTTATTGAGCACGATATCACAGTCATCTTCCAAGGTGAATTCAAACCATCTCTTATAGGAATAGGGTCCCTCCAAGGGAGTTAGGGTTGATTCGCTTGACTGCATCCTGGATGCTTTGATTTACCTCGGCATGTGTGCCCAGAGCAAAAAGCCCAAAGTAGGGGATCCTTGGTATCCCAGGCATACTGCAGACGACTGCAAACAATTCCTCCAGAGACTTGTGAACCAGGTGACAGATACCAGCATTAAATGGCAGGGAGAAGTCCACCAGTAAAATACGAGCTGAGGAATTGGAAACATGATTCAACTTAGATCTTGCTCAAAAATTGATTGACTTACTGAGTAGGCTTAGGCCTTCTGACTTCTAGGCCTAAACTGAAGGTAGGCCTATGCCTGCAAACATAAATTTGATCATGAAAGAATCCTTGAACTTCAAGGCTCTAGCCTAGTAGTAGTACAGACTCGGTGCCAAAGGGTATCACTTGAAAAATAAAGTTTGTGTTTAGTGATGCTAGTCCAAGCCTGCATCATTTTTTCTTGTGTTAGGCCTGGGCCTAAAATTCTGTGTAAAACCCACGGAATCTGGCAGGGACTGAAAGCTAATCCACATGTGAACCAATCGCACAATATGAACTCCATTACACATTCAACTTTAACTTTATTTATGTTTATCTCCACATAAAAAATGGAACACACTCAGCAGGTAATATAAACAAGTGTGTGGTTGCAAATCACTAAAAAGCGAAGCTTGGCAAGTAGTGATCCCCATAGTCAATAATAAAGATTAATTAACACACAAACACATAGCATTAGTAAGAATATAGGCCTAGGACAAACAGAATTAAAAACCTAGGCCTAGCCTAGGCCTACCCTGCAACTGCAACCCCGTGAAAGGAATATTTAATTACTTTGCAAATAATTGTCTGACATCATATTTTTATATTTACTCTTAAAGAGCGAAAGACTCAGGATACTTTTGAGAGATCGACCGAGTCCCACAGTTTGGGACCTTCGTGCTTAACAGTTACTTTAGAGGTCGTAGTACGAACATAAGATTTATGAAACTCATTCATGAACGTAATGGCATGAATGGGGCGCAGCCTAGCCCGGTAATTTTAGCAATGCTTCACAGCGAGCACGACAAATGAAACACAGGTTCTGTTGTCTGAGACTGAGTCTTGTATTTTACGCGTTATATTACCTGGCTGACGTGCAAAAACAGCCCTTGTGTGCTGTTTCTCCATCCTCTTTGAAGTTGCATAAGAATAAATAAGATGTACCGTTTTAGCAGTAGGGTTCGCACAAATTTGTGCACTAAAACTTCAGCCCGAGCATGCGTACTGTGGGCCAAAGATAGTATAGCGCCGCGCACGTACGTAGCGTCCAGGCACTCGATCTCTTTGCGCGCATGCTGTGGGCAAAAGTTTAGAATGAATATTCATGAATTTTTACGACTGGCGTATTGATTGGCTATTGGTACTGTAAACGTACATAGTACAGAGATCAGTGAGATGTACCGTTTGTATCGCGCGCGCAACATGTACACACACACACCTAGGGTCAGAGGTCATACGAACAAGCCGAGACATGTGAGTGTTTGCGTCTAGGAGGGGAGTGGTCTCCCTTTTTAGTCTAGTTTCACGCAGATTTTAATTTATTTCATTAGACACACAACTCAGAGGAGGCTGGAGGTAGAGAATTCTTACATGTTAGAGTCTGTTCGTGATTATCCATCTGTTTAGGAACAGACCAGGGCCTACGTTATTTACGGTAGGCTGCACTGAAACTATTTCGTGATGAATTTGATAAATTGAAGCCGGCCGCCATGCGCCAGGCCTAGGCGTAAATTTGTTCTGCGTGTCAGTGATCATGCTAGTGGTGGTGCTTTTTCATTTGACGGCTGTAATGTTTTACTTGTTTACCATGTTTACACCATCAGTTAATCAACACAATCACAAAATCCTGTTGTGACTTCGATCATCATCTGATCATGTTCATTCGACGTACATGGCATGCATGTTCGACGATCATGACAGTGTTCAATCTTGTCATGCTAAGTTGCAGCCTCACCTAGGCCTATGAACATCCATCACCCTACTTAGCCTAGGGCCCAGGTACCCTCAAAACTGTAGGGTCCAGTGTCCGGAGCGGACAGTTTTGGGGTAGGGCCTAAGCTTAACGTTAGGCCTAGCCTACTTCCCTTTGTCAAAATAATCAGAGTTTCATTTACGGACGTACACTGCTACTTCTAGACTCCCTTTTGCACAAACCGTGTGACTGTGAGACTTGTCTGAAAGCATTTTCTGCAATAATAGGCCTATCCCAATATTTTCCCTGCTATTGTGTTAAACATGCTAAAGCTTAAACATACTAAATTCAACTTTTTTCCATCGTGTTATTACTTCAGATGCCATAGGTAACTGTAGGGGGAAAATAGCCAAATAATGGCGTCTGTTTGGACTTCTTTCCAAGCAATCCTCCACAACTGTGAATTAAGCTGATGGTGGATTATCAGAAAATCATGCAGTTAGATTGAAAGATTTGTGGAAAGATCTAGGCCCTGTTTGTTTAGCCACGTTCACACGGATCTGGATCGAAATCATCGATCCCTGAGCTGGTACGCGTGCTATCCATTAGATGTGTTCTGGTTTCACTAATGGATCACTGATCATGATCCGTTTCTGCGTGAAACAAACAGGCCCGTAGATTTAGGAGTGACATGCATGTAGATCGACTTATCGCCCCCAACAATCCATGTATGTCTGTTTTGTTAGCAATCAGCAGCATGAGCAATTGGGGTGGTTGGGGAACATCGTTCGGCTATGCAGACGGCAGTGGTGATGAGGATGAGGAGGCGGAGTCTGGGTACCAGACTTCCTTTGCCACCAAGGACAGTCTGATCTTCCTGGTGGACTGTGGTGAGTCTATGTTCCAGAAAGCAAGTCCAGATGAAGATAGCCATTTTCAACTCTGCATCAAGGTGCGTACATTTGCAGATGTGCATGGATCAATAGACAGATTCATGAAACCCCACCCCGTGGTCTTTTGACCAATCACTACTGTGATTTTTGTCCTTAGTGCATAAAGATATGTAAGTCTGGTATGTGTGTACACACATATGATGTGCGTTGCTGCAACATGCAGTGAGGAACTAGAGAGAGGCACGTGCGCTCTGGGTGGGGCTGTTTAGAGAGAGGGTTGCGACATAAGTGTCTCAATGGTTGGAACCAAAATGGTGGATTGTGTGTCACTGGACAATAAGCACACTGAAGCTGCATGTCTTGCTGCACATGCAATAAACAGCCATTTTGGTTCCAAAGTTTGAGTTTAGCATTACTCTTTCTATATACAACTCTAGTCCAGACAAGATTGGAATATGAAATAAAGCTTTTTGTCAATAAAATCCACCCCCCCAACATAAAATGTATTGCTGTTAGGTACTTTCTGTCTTGACAGAAAAGAAATGTTTTATCTTGACATCTTGAATTGTTAAACCTAATTTGTAACTTCCTGCTCTGAAACATTTGATTGCTTTAATTTTGTTACAGTGTGCACGCAGCGTGCTGACTAATAAAATCATCAGCAGTGACAAAGACCTTTTGGGAGTCATTTTCTTTGGAACAGAGAAGAAGAAAAACAGTGGTAATTTTGATCATATCTACGTTTTGCAGGTAAGTGTCATGTCAATAACTGTATTTGTGAGATGGATATTATTAGCCATGTCAAATTGGGTTTCATCTGTTACTCTTGAGAAGGCATGATGATTTTTTGATATTGAAAGTAATCAGTTTCCATTGTCAAGTTCTGAGTTCGCGACATATTTCTTGTCGTTCCAATTTTGAATATTTGTATAGGACCTTGACAATCCAAGTGCATCACGTATTTTGGAACTGGAAAGCTTGCTGGAAGGTAAAATGAAATTTTCCAAATCTTCTTTTTGAAGCTTTTGAGAAGATTTGATAGATCTGCATAAACGAAAACCTACCCCCATTGCAACCGTTGCAAAAAAGGGTCCTAGTTTTATCATGAAAATGTATCTTGTTTGCTGCAGTAAATGTTGGCAAATGCAGAAAGGTTACAGACAAGAAGGCTTCAGGAATCTGACTGAAGGAAAGTCAAGACTTTGATTCTTCCTTTCATTGTTCTCAGATGATAATGACTTCAAGACGGATTACGGCCACAACACAAGTTTCTCACTCAACGATGCTCTGTGGACCTGCTCCAATATGTTTTCTCAAAGGTAACATATCTCAGGTATATCCAGCCTCTCATTAATGCAAGGGCAGTTTTGCAATAGAGACAAGGTACAAGGCTGAACTCCATTCTCATGTTACATGCCAAGCCTTAAGAACTGATTTTGGTCGATGTGAAATGGCTTACTTAATGTGGAAATTTTTTATATGCGGAGCTGAAAACATCAAAAGATGAGGATTAGACAAACAATCTTTTCATTGATATTGATAACCATCTCTTGTTGGGACTCAGAATTATTTCAAGTCCATTATATCTCCCTTAGCACCCAAAAAATTGGTCACAAGAGGGTTCTTCTGTTTACCAACAACGATGACCCTCATGCTAATGACCTAGCAGCCCAGCGCCAAGCCAAGACCAAAGCTAAGGATCTCCATGAGATTGGCATCGACATTGAGCTGATGCATCTTGCACAACCCGGCAAAGAATTCGATTACTCAAAGTTTTATCAGGTATGATTATCTGTCAACCACCTTCCAAAAAAGAGGACAAGAGATGATATTTTGGAGATATGAAGTTGAAGTCTGATGAACAATGAGCAAGCACCCTAGTGCTGATGAGTTCCACAGTTCCATTCATGTTAAAAAGACAGTGAGAAATGAAAGCTTTTGATGTAAAACTTTGCAGGAGTGGACATTTTGATGGCCTAAAGCCACTGGGTAGTTTTACTTGAATTCATCAAAAACAAAGATTTTTGAAATCCAGCTTGCTGTTTGCTTTATTTCTAGGACATTGTGTTTTCACCAGACGATGAAGATCTTGGCACCGTGCCAGATGCAGCAGAGAAGTTTGAAGAGTTACTCAACCGAGTCCGAGCGAAGGACCACAAGAAACGCTCACTGGGCAGATTGACCTTTAGCCTTGGAGAGGGGCTTGATCTTGGAGTAGGAGTGTGAGTCAGTCTCCGTGTCTGTTTGTTCGGAATCTTTTTTCCCCTGGTCCTTCCACAGTCAGTTTCCAATCCATTCTTGTTCTGTTAACAAAATTGTCGGAATTTTCCAGTCTGCCATACCTTTAACCCTAACACTCCTCAGTCCTCCAACAGGTGAAGGATTGAGGAGGGTTAGGGTTAAACTACTGTTAGATATCCACAAGACGTGCATGAATGGAAATATTGGACGCAACTTAATTCCTGCTGAGGTAAAAGGGTAAATTTGACTCTCAATACTGTTATTGGTGTCTTATTCCAATATAGCTTCAATCTTGTGCGTCAGCAGAATAAACCTTATCCAGTCAAGCTGTACAAGAAGACCAACGAGCAACTCAAGAGCAAGTCACGCATGTTTTGTGAGGTATGCCCGTCTTTCTCCAAGTGCAAGCAATTTTCTTGTCAATTTGTAGTTAGGAAATTGCAAATAATGCCCCTGTTTAAAGATTTGTCAATTTATGGTGCAATTCACCTTCCATTTAGCTTGGAAGTTGCTGTAAAAACACTGGAATAAAAAGTGAAGAGAAGTCTGTTTATAAACTGACAAATTGTTGTTGAGATCTTGGAGAGACTGTTACTGTGCCTTAGCTGGGTACCAGTATTGCTGGTAACCATGTTTATGTTTAGAAAGACCTGACCTGATGCATGCCTGAGGCTTTCAACATATGGTTAACAAGTGGATTTCACCTCTTACCCCTAAAACAATCATCATCCAAATGTTATTGAACTTCACCAATACTGTAAAGGATATTTTGAACAATACGCCAATAATCGGTGACTTTTAGTGAGTTAATAATATTCCAGACTCAATAAAGAACGATCTTCCCCTCTCACCGAGATTAAATTGCACTTCGACTTCTAAAACATAATTCATCAAAAGTGGATTTCCAGTCCCACATGCATACAACGCTGACCAAACAAGTCGTTGCATTGTATTCAGAAAGGCCCTGTTGCAGACTATTTGCATAATTCAGATTTACACATGAGAGGAAATGCCCTGTCCCATCAAACAAGCACAAGACATTGTCGCGGCTGAGGCAATTGAAGCGCAGCGTGTTTCTCTCATCTCATCAAGGATACAGGAGAGTTGCTCATGCCAACTGACATCAAGAAGTATCAGGTGTATGGAGGCAGGAACATCGTCTTTGAGAAGGAAGAAATCACTGACATGAAGAACTTTGGTCAATCAGGTTTGCCATGAATTTGTTCAATAATTTGTCCCTTTTTTCACATTTTTATACTTGAGATACATGCATTCTAAAAATTGTTGGCTAGTATCGTTGATAAGTATTATTGAATATTAATAAGGATAGTAATATATGTTGTACATTTGTTTTCTTGCTATTTTCTACGTAATGAAAACTTAAGATATTCCTAAAACATCTTAGCTCTGTAGTATTTGAGATGTTGCATTTGTAGTATTTTTAGCCTTATATTAACACTAACTTGTAGTAAAAAAATTTAGTAGAAACGAATGTTCCTGTATTGTAAAATTCTAGTAAAATACTGATTAATGCATTTGTCATTTTATTTCTTGAAGTATGGAAATTATTCATTCAATAATTAGAATTATTGCAGACTGGTGAATATAATTACAAATAATTATGTTGTTATAGTTTTGATGAGCATAGACAGTGACAAGTGACAAATTTTTGATTTGCGTTTGTGTGGTCCTATCTGTCAGGTCTTGTGCTGATGGGTTTTAAACCTCGCTCATCCCTTAAGAGATACCTCCACATTCGGCCGGCCCAGTTTCTTTTCCCCGATGAGAGCGTCGTCAAGGGAAGCACACCCCTCTTCTCTGCCCTTCTCACAAAATGCCAAGAAAGGGACGTGGTCGCCATCTGCCGCTTCATCCCACGAAAAAACTCCACACCATTTTTTGTTGCGCTTGTTGCCCAGGTAACACATTCCTACACCCTCATTATCCCTAACCTTCCTCAATCCTTCACCTGTTGGAGGACTGAGGAGTGGTAGGGTTAAACCTTATTTCCTTCTCCACATATGACTAGTTTCCTGCAGTGTTTCTTCACAAAGCCACTGTTCCAATTAAGAATTTGAGCATCGACTAATATCCAGATGCACTTGATTTGAAACACCTGTATTTGTCCAAGCATTGATTATCAACAACTGCAGGGATAGTTTTCCTGTTATTGATGTAACCCTAACCCAGTGTTGTAGTTGAAACTATAACAAGACCTTTCACAAAGCCATTCTCACGAGCAGACACAAGACCAGTCACAAGGCCAGACATAAGACCAGTCACAAGGCCAGTCACAAGGTCAGTCACAAGTAACAGGGTGACAAGTGACAAAGTAGCACTTTTCTTGGAGTTCATATTTCAATAGCTTGTGACTCAAATTCAAACTGGATGTGTTGTAGGGTTTTGTGATCATGTTTTGATGGTCTTATGGGGTCTTGTGAAGGTCTGAAGAGGTCTCAACTCCAACACAGAATTTTCCTTTTCCTTTGTAGGAGGAGGAGTTGGATGAACGCAATGTTCAGGTTACTCCACCAGGATTTCATCTCATCTATTTGCCCAACTCTGAAGACATCAGGAGGTTAACCCTTCCAGAGCATCCACGAGGTATTGAAGCAGGAAGGCTCTATCTATCACTTAATATTAATGGGTATTTATAAAAACGGACATGTATCCACCAGGACTGGTGCTTAACCCTAACCCCCAAGGGTGTATGTAAAATTGTTTTGAAATTGGAGGGTTTGGGACTATAGGGTTAAGGGCTTCACAATTATTAGCCCTGCTCATGTGGCCCAGGAAACGTTCCAGTCACCATCTCAGGCACATTTTTTTGTTCTTGTTTTTTTTTTGTATAGCTAATGTTGATCAGATTGACAAAGCGAAGGAAGTCATCAAGAAACTGCAGTTCAAATTCAAGAGTGAGAATTTTGAGAATCCAGTTCTCCAGACACACTACCGCAACTTGGAGGCCTTAGCCCTAGATCGAGATAAGCCAGACGACATTGTAGATCACACAGGTCAGAGGTTATCAGGGGTCGTTTATCAATTTATTTCTCTTTGTATAAATGGAGAATGAAAGATTTTAAGATCCACAACCTTAAGGAGATTCTTCATCTTTCTTTGTTAGTTGGTCACCTTAAAGTTTTACCAAAATAATCAGTGAGAATTGGTCTGCAAACCTAGCAGGACTCTTGTACCTCTTTACATCATTACAGTTGTCAAGTTTGTTCTTTTTTTGAGTAGAGTGAATCTTTTTTTGTGTGTGCATTTCAGCCCCTGACGTTGAAATGATGAGAAAGCGAACTGGGGAGAAAATTGAAGAATTCAAGGAGTTAGTATTCCCAGATGGGTACCAGCCTGGTGCCAAGAAACGTAAGGTAGGTCAGCCAGTGTGCTTTACTTCAAGGTACTAGACTGTGATAGACCCTCGAAAAAAAATTGCTGTGTGGCTCAGTGGTGGAGATTAAAGTCATGTTATCGGTTATTACTTCTGTTCGCTCCAGGGGAGGATTGATTGACTTGATTTCCTTTGATGTTATTGAGAGAGAAGATTGTCTCGATTTGTTCATTTATGTAGCATCCACAGAAAGACTAAAACTTGGACAAATGTATTATTGCTTCATCTTGTAGACGGTTGGAGGTGATTCTGGTAAAGCTAAACCAACGATGGATGTTGACATGAATCAGTATGCCCAGCAGGGAAAGGTGAGTGTGAATGTATGTGAATTATTAGGGAACAGGTGAGTGGAATATAAGCAGGTGTGACTGGACAGCAGTGCTGGAGTTCTGTCCATCAGATGTCCCTTCAAGCCCATGTCAGTTATCACAAGTCATACGGTCTGAGGACAAGTCACAGCTTTTCAAATGAGCTGTAACCAATGCATTCCACTATCGCTGTTCAACCTGTTAGTCATGACTGGTTTTGTGAGAGGACTTGTGATGGACTTGGACTATGGCACTGTTAGACAGGTGGCCGTCAGGGGTTATCAGTAGTAGATAGCACTCATGGACAGTCAGCCACACTGGACAAGTTTCCACTACAGGCAACCTGTTTCCTGTGGTAACCTGTTCATTACGCCCATGGAATATGCTGTGTCACCTGTCTATTTAAAGCCAGACATCGATAGCTACAGGGAAAAATATTTGATTATAATCTTATATCCAGGCTGCCTTTAGATGAAATATTCCTACAAATTCTCACTCCAATTTTCCCCTCAGCTTGGCAAGTTAACTGTCGCCGTCTTGAAAGAGTTCTGTTCCAAGAATGGACTTTCCACAGCCGGAAAGAAAAATGATCTCATCGAGACCATATCGAGTCACTTCGGTGTCTGAACTCTAACCTTTGACCTCAGAAAGGGGCACAAATTTTCTGCCAGTTTTCATCTCTTGTTATGGATGAGGGCAACGAATGGGAGAATAAAACTCTTCTTTTTAAATACAACTTCCTTTGAAAACTGTCTAATGCAGTTGAAAAAATAGGAGATGGTGATCTTAGATCATAAAAGTTGTACAGAAAAGCAAACGTAGAAGTTAATAGATTCTGTGGCAACCACTTTAGTAAGTTCTGGTGAGAAGGAGCTAGTTCACGTTTTGTGTTGGCAAAACTGCATTCCTGTACACGCATTGTCAAAAGTATGGAAGAATAATAGCGGATTTGCGTTAGGCTCACTTAGAGATTTCTAGTTTCAGAGAGAATTAATTCATGTCATCAAATCCTCGAAATTTTATTTGAAGTTAAACCAAACTACGCCCAGGACACCTACGGGGAAGAGCTCTGTGCCCCAACTGTACAGAATGGAAACTTTTTGCAAAGCACCAGTTTAAGAATTCAATAGCAATTTAAAAGGTTTTGATGTTCTCTGTGTCTTCATCGTTCATTCACGAAGCCTTAAGAGTTTATCCTTCTGGCATTTAAATTCTGAATAATCTATCATGTTGGCATCCTTGGGGTGGGTTATAAATGACGTTATTACTGTGATTAGTGACGTGTAAAGTGGCTGGTCTTATTGATTGGTTTCCAATGAAGAGATATTCATCTGTTACTAGGCATTTCGTTCCATTTTTGTTGTCAATAAAGGTAGTTTTATATTGGAAATCTCCATGTGTGCATATCAGCTTGTTTTGTTTTGTTTAGTACGATTGCAAGTGGCGGAGCCAAAGTGGACAGGGACACCCCCCGGAAAAAAAGATCGTCGCTCCAGACCCTAAGGCACGTGTTGAATATGCCAAAGACAGAAAATGTATTGGAGCTGTACTACCCCGCTACCCGTTGACTGCTGGCTACGCTCTGATTGCTTGTTCTGTTTTTATTATTAAGGGTAATTCTTGGTTGTATATGTTTTGTACGAACAGGGAAATGTGAAATAAGTGATCTGGAATGTATGCTGCAAAACTTTGATACTTTTATTAAACTCTTTAAGATGAAAAATATGATTTTCTTTAGCTCGCAGTTGCTCTTTGTTCGTGTTGGTACTCGCTTCCAAATTCCGTTTACCTGACATGTTTACCATGAACCAAGGTAGTCCCTCGATATTCTACCCGACAATGCATCGAAGTTGAAACCAATTTGCTGTCGTAATGTGACATTTTTGACAGAAGGCATGATCACCCGTAGTATTTGAATTTATGCCAGTAATACTTTGAAGAACTACTCAAAGTTTTCATTTAGCCGCAAATTTAAGACTCGGTTGTTTTGCATTTTCATGTAGACACGTGAACATATTCAATTCCAACCTGCATTGAGACTAAGTCTATGCGGAATGTGAAAACCAACCTTTTTGTGTTCCTTGCCGTGAATCGCCCGTGTTAAAGCTTGAAGCCACATTATTCAAAAGACCTTGGGATAAATTGGAGGCTCTTCTCTTAGTGAACGTAACGACTTTAACCCTAACCCTCCTCAATCCTTCACCTGTTGGAGGACTGAGGAGTGTTAGGGTTAATGAATACGTCAACTTGTCCAATACTTTCTTAACAAGACTGTTGCTATTATACCACTTTCCTCAACAAGGGCCTTGTATAATCACTATTGGACAATAAACAATTCAAAGTAATGGACACCTAAAAGCTCACCTCAAAAGCAGGGTGTAGTATGTTATCGGTTCACTGATAAAATACATCACTGCAGTGCTCTTCCTATCGGTGTTCGATAATTGCTGGGGTACCCTCAACAAATGTACTTCAGTAGCGTAACAGACGGGGTACGGCCGCCCCGCTCGAAGCCTGTTACCCCCTCCGCTAAAGAAAGTAGAGAAGCAAAAGCATCTGTCCACTGTCACGAACTGTGACCGAACGCTCCCTCCCTGAGTGCGCCTCAATTTCTGTTCTCCTGATTCCAGGTCAAACTTTGCAAAGTTTTCACGAAGTTGCCCGTTTCAGTCTGCTTCAGCGACTAGATTGCGATGATGGCCATAAAATTTATACTCAAGGTTCCACTAACCAATAATTGTCGAGCTACGTAGCCTGTTTCAGTCTGCTTCAGCGACTAGATTGCGATGAGTGGCAATAAAGTTTATACTCAAGGTTACACTAACCAATAGTTGACGATTTGCGTAGCCTGTTTCAGTCTACTTCAGCGACTAGATTGCGATAATGGTCAATAAAATTTATTCTCGAGGTTACACTAACCAATAGTTGATACGTAGCCAATAAGTGCAGAGTCTGTCGCAGCATGGTGGCAGTTTCCATAGGAAATGCCAATAGAAACCGACTGTTGGCGTTTTCCACTGAATTAACCATGTCCATTCATCATGGCTGACTGGCGACCAACGCTCATTAACTTTGATACACAATATTACCTTCGTGCTTTGCTTTGTTTTGTTTTTTTTTTCATAAGGTTTCAACTTATAGGAAACTGAACGTTGGAAGAGATGATTCAGTATGCTTGATGGCCTGTGCGTTTCCGACGTAATGTTTAGCTATATCCAACTTGCTAGCAACATTTGCAGAGTGGCATAGAAAGTGATCACAGCTGTCAATTTTTACAGCAAAGAAAATGGAATTTGTTACAGTCCTGCAGAGAATTATAATTCTTGGTTTAGCATTGGCGTACGGTTTTACGGGATGCGAAGGTTCATGTTCCCCGTGCCCATTTAGATGGGTACAGCATCAGCATCGTTGCTATCGATACTTTGCTCGACCTTTCTCATTCGATGAAGCTAAAGCATATTGTCAACGCTATGCCACGGGCAGCGGAGAGGGTGGCTTAGCCGAGATCACCTCTCCGGAGGAGATGATTCTCGTAACCTACTACGTAAAGAATGTACGAAGTTGGTCAAACACCGGCCCTGGATTTGTCTGGTTTGACAGAAGACGCAACACGGTCGGTAAGTTGATTTGTAATTCAATTAAAACACCAATCTATCGTGCCGTTGTGAGATTCCAAACGAAAGGTATAAACACCCACATCGGAATGAGGGAGGGATATCCTCTTCTGTACGAGAAAAGAGCTCTACAGATTTGTTAGGTGTATGGTTCTGTTTAATTGTTTAATTGAAACTTCTTTCCAGAAAGTTACAATGTGATCTACCAGAACACGTTGAGCGAAAATAACGCCGATCACCTCACATCGTGTGATGCCTATAGTTCACCGGTTACAATCCTCAAAGATAAAAGTGGTGCGGGCGTCTCCAAAATGGTTCCTGCCCCCAAGGTGGTCGAGTACAAATGCGCGATTTCCCTAGGGGAGGGTGCCTACGTCAACCTTGGTGATTTTGCCAAGACCTGTGTCTCAGATCCTGACGTGTGTGCTTCAGAGAGTGCGACCTGGTCTCTTTGGTTGAAGATCAACTCTTCGGCTATTCATGGGGATGAGAGATACTATTTTACCGCTGGAGGGCACAGTCAACAAGGCCGGGGTGTTACCTTGTTGAAAAAAGTCGACTCCTTTGATTTCTGCGTTCGCACTAAGAAACAGGTGCCACAGTGTGTTGAGTTTGAAAATAGCAAGATTCCAATGGATAGATGGTTCCACTTCGCTGTCACATTCGATCTTATGCAGAGCAGCGCTTGGTTGATCGTGTACCTGAACGGCCAGGAACTTCGTATAGACGTAGACCACAGCGCTACCTCCTCCTTGCCAATGAAGGACGGATGCACGAAGCTACTCTTAGGAAACTCCTATGCCTGCAATGGGCCGCCACTTTCATCCCTGAGGTACGGAGTCACAGCCGCCTATAGCAATCTCATGGTATTGGATCGTCTCCTCTCGAAGAAAGAGATGCGTAACCTCTACGCATGTGGGTCACTGGGTGAGTTATGATTCCTTACGTGAGTTTTCCCAGCGGCTTTGGTACGCGTGCGTAGAGTATCGCTTCGATTAACACTGGTGCTGTGAATTTGTCAAAACCGTACGCGCATCTGTAGTTTAAGAACGTTAGTGTGAGTGTGGTGGTACCTTTGCCTTGCAGAGTAGGAAATAGATGTTCATAATGTTATCTAACTGTATGATACCACCGCAGATATGGCGTCTCTTCAGATTCTGAAAGACAAAAATGTACAGTATCGAGTTTATATTTTACTCCATTTCTACACAATACTACTCGGCACATTGTAAATTCGCCCTTAAAATTCATTGCAATTGTTTCTGAAACAAAAAATTGTTACCTGCCTTCAGGTGACATGGATCGGCAATCAAATATTACATACTGTGAGCTATAAAATACATCTACCATTGATTTTCTTAATCTTACAGTATTGCTGAAACCTTTTGTATACCTTACAGATTGGGAACTCAAGATACGAAGTCTCTACATCGATGATACCAACACCAATAGCGGCAGACTTCGGTGTGTTTGCACGGCAAGTGCCTCGACCGGGCCTACGATACAATGGAGCGTGTACTACACGGAACGAGCGGAGTTTCACGAACTGGGTAATTCGACCGAGGGAATCTTTGAAATCACACAGACCGCTTTCTCGTCATGCGTGTTGCAGTCTAGCCTGGTGATCGATCAAACACAGAAACCCATCGGTTGGAATGATGTCATCGGTTGTAAGGCCACCACTGGCTCGATGCAAGTTTCTCAGTACATCCACCGAGGTAAGAGCAGTGTTACAAGTCGAGTCCATCACAAGTCTGTCAGAAGTCATTTAGTCTTAACCAAGTCCGTCAC